AGAGGGAGAGGGAGGAGAGGACGGGGAGAAGGAAGGGGGCCCGAAAGAAGGAGGCGGGAAGAAAACAGGTAGCTCACGATCGCTGCTGTTTCTGCTCTCCTGAGCGCTGACAGTAGATTCCGAGCTCTGACTTGGAGTTCGTGACAGGTCCTCCTTGGAATAGGTGCTGCAGACGTGGGGTTAGACAGAAACTGCCTGAGGTGGGAGATAGTACATACCTCATCTCTGCCTGGGAATGTTCGGAGAGAAAGTTGGTCACATAGTTGTCATCGCCGGATCCCTGGAAAGATTTTCTTGGGAAAATAGTTTCTCTGCTCACTGCACAGAGGAGAGGACAACATGGTCATAGGGAGCACGAGAGCGCATGCGCTGGTGATTTACCTCGCTTCTTCAGCTCTCCTTGGATGTTCAACCCCGTTTTGGATAGCTTGATCGAATGAGTCAGCTAATGGAGGGAGGGAGCAAGGAGGGAGGGAGGGAGGGAGGGAGGGAGGGAGGGAGCAAGGGAGCAAGGGAGAGGGAGAGGGAGAGGGAGAGGAAGAGGGAGGACTGACATTCTTGAATTCCTCATCTTCGTACGCCTCCGCAAACGTTGTGCTGATCACAGTGATGGGCAGAGCGAGAATGATCGGGCCGCTGAACATAATGAAGAATCCTTGAGATCTATAGTTATTCAAAACGAACGAGAGCAGCGAATGGGAAGGGTAGCAGGGAGGGAGGGAGGATGGGAGGGAGGGAGGGAGGGAGAAAAGAAGGCAAGGAGGGAAAACCTAGAACTTTCCCTCCGACGGAGCTTGGATACATGTCTCCGTATCCCGTGGTTGTCACTGTTGTCAGACACCAGTAACCGGAGATGAAGATGCTCGAGAATTGACTCTTTGCCCTGCACAAACAAGCAAGAGACATTAGATGATACTTAATACCCAAGCTCAAAACAAGGTACACGTCTTGCTATCACAGGAAAGAAATTCTAGGTGTTTACGAGAGGAAGCCCTCACACTTCACGTATCCTCCTCCTCCTCCTCCTCCTCCTCCTCCTCCTCCTCAAATCACGATCACAATCATCATCATAAAAAAGCGGAGATGGACGCATCATGCTCACCGGCACCATGAATGTCCTTGGCATCCATCGCTGAACGTCGCTCCTTTGTATGTATGGGGGATGGCGTACCATCCCTTACCATCTTCTGCTGATCCACCACACATGCTGTTGAGAACTTTTCAGACATGCAACAGCATACAAAGATGATCTCTTACTTGTTGAACTCATCACACCACACACCCCTTTCCGCGAAGTACATGGCGCTGATCATGATGTCAAGAACGGTGTAGCAGAAGAGCAAAGTGACGTGAAACAACAAAGGAGGACTGAAGGAGGATGAGGTTGCAAAGGGGAAGGCAGCAGCGGGGAGCACGAAAGAAAGTAGGTGTTGATTGTGGAGGAGGTCCCCCAGACCTGCTGAAAAGAGTGACAGCGATGGAAACGAAGAAAATGAGCATTCCTAGTGGCTCAATACTTGTCCGGATCGTCCTGAGGCAAGCAACCCATCAGCAGCAGACAAGAGTTGGTGCACCTCAAACCTTGCCAAGAGCTCGGATCCCGAGCTGTACTTGATTATCCTCAACAACCTGAAAACCCTTCCAATCTTTATGACCTGTCACGGCTCCGCTCAAAACAGTCGAAAGTCATTCACTGTATCTCACTTGAATCGCTCCACTTCTCCGGGAACCAGCAAGCTGCGCACATCTTCAGTCTCTTACGGCGATCATGGCAGAGAAATTACCAGTCTGATGTAGAAGGGAAGGATCGAGAGAAGGTCAATCATGTTTGCAATCCGCAAGACAAACGAAACCCTCGCTAGGAGCTTTGTCAACCATACTGGTTGTCATACGATCAGGTCAGGATCCCATCTCACAGCAATCAGCAAGCTCTTCTTCTACCTGGTTTGTTGACTGTGGAATCACTCACTTGGTCTCCCTCGGGAGTTACCGCCTTGTTGTATCCGAAGAGCCGAGGTGCTGGCAGGTACTCGACGTATATGTCCGGACAGGTGATAACACGCAATACGTAGTCTATTGTGAAGATGGCGATACAAACAATGTCGATTTGGTGCCAAACTCCATCCGTACTCCCGCAGCACAATGAAGGGATCGTTTCTGCTATGAAGGAGGTGCAGCTGATGATGATGGTAACGATCAAAACGATCTGCGACAATCTTTCATCTGATGTATACACATCAAAAGGCGAACTACCATCCAAACAGAGGCCAGTCTGCTCGAAGAAGGATGCTCCAGCGTATTCCAAACCTATTCACACCATGAAACCAATGCGCGGAACGACAAGACGACATCTCACATGTCCGCTCAATCTGTCCAAGATTGATGCGTCTGGAGAAACACTGATGTAGGACGATGTCTTGCGCAGCCCCTTGCGCTCCTCTGCTTCGCTGCGGCTGGCCTTGCTATTCCGGCGATAGACAGCCCTCATGTCTGCATGCACTCAGCCAGCTTGATCGAGTCTGTCAAGCCCTGCAAAAACGGCAGAGGGCTGGAACAGAGCTCAAGTCAGGGCAAGGTCGAAGTTTAGCAAAACAAGATATTTGTCAAGGTTGGGCTGTAGATGAATAATTTCACAACTCCTCGATATGCTAAGAGTTCAAGAATTCATCCGCTATGTTGCAACACACGACCCCAAATCCTAGTTGCTAAATCAGACTCGCCTAACTCTTCATTCATCGTACTCATCTACACTCTTGGAATTGCCTCTACATCGCTCCAACATCATCGCCATGATTCTACTGAATCTTTCACCCCGCTCATCATGGCCCTCTAACTTCAAAAGTCCGTTCCGTAACTCTGGCATACTGAACTACTAGTTCAATCACACTCCTCAGTGACCGCTCTCACGGTCTCCCCTGTCAAGTTGGTGTTCAACAGTCACAGTGACGGTGGGAGCCGCTGAGCACTGGCATGACCACTGCGGCTGTGCATGACCCCAGGATGGCCACCGTTCCGCCGCCATCACCACAACCGCAACAGCATGTTGACAACCGTTACGGTCCCCGGGAGCTCAGGCTAAAACATTCGGTCGCAGGTAACTGTCAAATAACGTCCGTAACTGCGAGTAAAATTGCCCAAAATAACTTATCTCGTCACTACAGGCTACCGTGTCACGGTCCGACGGTCCAATCGGCTAGTCGGCAACGGTACTACTTGAACCGTTTTCAATGTGGCCCGCCCGGCCCGAGTCCGTCGAGTCCCGCGCGGCCGGGCCGCCCGGCCGGGCCCGGCCAGGCCCAGTGTCCGGCTCAGTCCGACACTGGTGAGGGCCACGGCGACATCCGACTGCCAGCGGCTGCCAGCCTGGCAGGGCACTGCATGCGGCAGGCCCAGTGCCTGAGTGGCCGGGCCCGGGCCCCCGGCCCAGGGCGCGGGCCCTTCCGAACTGGCCGCAGTGACTGGTCCTGCGCCGCCGCAGCTCACGGTACGGTCACTGTTAAGTGAAGGTATCAGCACGGTTAAGCCTTCAATGGTGAGTGTGATTTTTCTAGTAACTTGGCTTTACTTTGAATAATCTAACCGCCGCGCCGCCGGGGGTGAACTAAGTCCCCGGCGTCCGACTGACCGTGCCCGCCGGTCACCGGCCTCCCGGCGTGTCCCGGCCGAACCCGGTGCGGCCGCACGGTCAGCGACGCGCGCCGCGGCCGATCCGAGCCGAAGGGCCACCGTGCTGTGAACGTGACTGCCCGGACCGTACGCACGCCTGCGGCCGCCGGCCCGCCGCCCGGCCCGGCCGCGGGGGACCGGGAGCCGGGCCGACAGCGGCAGCCCGGGCCGGCCCGATCCAATCATCCACCGTGGCTCTGAGTACAGTGGTCTCACGAAGTTGGCGACCACTGCGTATTTCCACCCCACCCCCTCCGGATTTTACTTGATTGTCCTAAACAATTTCCCCACACCCCTACTGATATTTTTGGAGGACCCACCCTACCCCATCCTACTATTAGTTCAAACGCAGTCCCCTTTTGAAATGTTGAGATGCCGACATGGCGCTATGGAGCTGCTTCGCTGACGTCACGAGGAAAGCAAATGGGACCCCCTACCATCATGTCCTTTCATGAAGAGTACCCTACCCCCTCCGCTCCACCACCACCCTTGCTTCCCCGTTACCCCATGTTGAATCCACCAGACTACCCCCACCTATCTATTCAACTGAGCCCCAACCCTTGGTAGAGATGAAGACCCCACCCCGGGTCATAGCCACCCCACACACCAACAAGGAAAGGGGTTTACCTACCCTTTTCGAGTGTGGGGGGGTCTTACCTGAGCCCGCCTAGCGTTCGAATTAAAGTATTCTTGATTTTTTCCATAATTGAACAGTTTCAATTTTTGCTGCCTTCCATTCTTATTTACCCCCTTCCAGAACGGGTAGAATGATCACCGTACCACCACCCCATACGAGAAGACAACCCACGGAATACTACCCCTACCATGCTATCTGAAACGCCATACTGTAGATGACCCCCATATACCAACAAGGAACTTGAGAATTCCCACCCCCCAACCTCCTGGAATTCAGTCTCACCCCCACCCACTCCTAGGCCCGTTTGAAGGTCTAAGTCCTTTTTCCCCAATCAGTTGGCCTACGTATTCAAATTTCAAACTGTTTTCGACAAATTTAGTAATTTCTTACAAAATACAGACCGCATCCTTCCTATCATTCCCAAATATTTGAGTGTACACAGACAAATATTGAACATTTTGTCATAATGGGGGAGAGCTAGCACGCCAATCCCTTCAACTCAACGAGGGTCCCTAAGACCCAAATCTTGTACTCGGATAGGACCGATTGTGACTAGGAAATACCCAAGAAGGGGTCCCTGACAAAATTGAGGGGTAGTCATCGTATCTGGTTGTCAAGTAGGGGGTACTTTTGTAGTAACGATAAGTCAAAGGACTGGGTTACTATTTTGGAACTAGGGTTGTGTCTCATGGGGGGTAGTGAACAGAAACGAGGGCAAGTGGAGTATATAAGGGGGTGATCAATGTTGAGTATTGTGCTCTTGTGATAGGAATATAGGGGTGGGTGGTGTTTTTTTTAAACATGGGGTGTTGTCGGGTCAAATGAGGGTGGGGTATGTGAGCTGTTGCCTCTTATGAAAGGTGGGTACCTACCCACTATACCATTTTTCGATAATTTGCCGATACTTTGGTGGGTTCACATCTGAGATGGACTTGGGGAAGCGTGTAAACAAGGGGTGGGGTAGTAATCGAGGAGTCGCGAAATGCTCGGGGTGCTAGTGTTTGCCCCCATCTGAGTAGGTGGGGTCCTGAAGACAGGGTAGCGGTGACGATGGGGTAGGGTACTACGTTGCCGCGCTGGATCCCCTCCTCGCTGCTCCTCCCTACCCCTCCCTCCTCGTCTGCATCCTCACCCGTATTCTCTCCTCCTTCAGCGCCCTCCTGTTTTCAGTGTGCGTTACGCCCTTCCAGTTAAACAGATCTATCACTTCCTGTTAGCTCGCAGCCATGGGAGGGTTCCAGAGTGTGTTCAAGCGCCTTTTCTCCAAGAAGGAGATGAGAATTCTCATGGTTGGTCTCGATGCCGCCGGTAAGACCACCATTCTTTACAAGCTCAAGTTGGGTGAGATCGTTACCACCATCCCAACCATCGGGTTCAACGTCGAGACTGTCGAATACAAGAATATCAACTTTACCGTTTGGGACGTTGGTGGCCAGGACAAGATTCGCCCACTTTGGAGGTGATGAAATGTGATGTCTCTGTGTACTCTCATTAACAAGCATGTTCACAATGCCCACATTGACTTGTCTAATGACGCGTTGGTCTACTTCTGAAGCATCTTGTGTTTGCAGGCACTACTTCCAGAATACCCAGGGCCTCATCTTCGTTGTTGACAGTAACGACAGAGATCGTGCGGCTGAAGCAAGAGATGAGCTGTAAGTCTTTCTCTAGTCGATTGTGAATACCGCTTCTAGAACATTTTCCCTTGAATGTGAACACTTCTCGCTGTTGTGATACTGGCATACTGGAAAATCTCTTTGTCTGGAAATGTCGAAGATGCCTGTTCGCAGTGGAGGTTTATTTCTTGGTTTATCCGCTTTGAGTGTATCGTGGTGCATACGATTCTGTATTTTATTTTGTTGGTTTGCTTGAGAGAGAGCGTTTGTCCGTACTGTGCTTACTCATGTTCGCAGACACCGAATGCTCAATGAGGACGAACTGCGTGATGCTGTTTTGCTCATCTTTGCCAACAAGCAGGTACTGTGAAGGTTGTGAGACATTCTTGGCGTCTAATACTTGTTTAGGATTTGCCAAATGCAATGAGTGCCGCAGATATTACAGACAAACTGGGGCTTCATTCCCTCAGACAACGTAACTGGTACATTCAAGCCACTTGTGCCACGTCTGGAGAGGGACTTTACGAAGGATTGGACTGGCTGTCGAACCAACTAGCCAAGAAGGGCTAATCTCTTGATGCTGAATAAACATGTTCCTTCCTCTGCTCTTTCTCGGAATCAGAGGGAGGAAGGGGAGCGATGGACGGACAAAGCTTTCAACCGGAGCCTCTGGTGGAGTGCAGGCAATGCGATGATGAAGGAACTGTTCCTTGAACGAATGTTTTGCAACAGAAGTTGAGGGAAATTTTGTACACTGTGCAAAACTAGCTCGACGGAGTGCTCGTTCGCTCTGAATTGATTGTATTTTCGGGAGGGCAACAGATTCTGTTTTACGTCATCGAGTATAGTTTGCTTGCTCCGTGATTACTTTGCGTCCTTAACTTGTTTAGTAAATCTTCGAGAATTATGTCGCTTCAGAATTTGAAAACTAGTTGGATATGTAGTCTAAAATCCCCTCATTGTCACCAAGAGCGAGATGTTGAACTTGATTGTGATACAACGAACAAGAATCTCAGCGATGGACCACAATATATTTCTTTTCGAATCAAATGAATTAGCTTAAGCGGAAGCTCCGTTCTTGAGGCGAGCTGCTGCGAGCTGCTTCTTGGTCTTGCGCACTACGCGACCGGCGCCCTCCTCCTCAGGTTTCTTCACGAACTCATCCTGCAACGTTCGTCAGACCACAATGGCTTCAATCATCAAACCCTCACCTTCTCAGCAAGGATAACCTCCACATGGCAAGGGTTAGACATGTAGGCATTGATACGACCGTGAGCACGGTAAGTTCTACGGCGTCCCTTGCATGCTTGGTTAACCTGCGGCGTGTGAGCACCACCATTGGAGCTGACGAGAGTCAAGACACCTGAATGTGGCTGATGTAGAGGTTCTCAGTGTCAATATCCTTGCCCTCGGTGTTGCTCTCGGCGTTGGTGAGCAGATCGAGGAGGTGCTTGACAGACTTCTCAGGGAATCTTCCAGGGCCGTAGAAGTTGTGCTTCTTGCAGAGGTTGGAGCGGCCAGCGGATCCTCCGAAGCGGCGGAGGGGAACGACGTCCTTCTTCTCGAGAACGTTGTTCAAATATTTCTTGGCCTTGCTGAGCTCGAGACCCTTGATGGCCATGGCGGTCTCCCTCATGTTCTTAAAGGAGGTGCGGAGGTCTGAGGCACGAGCCTTGGCAACCTTTGCAGCGTTCTCCGGCTCACGTGAATACTTTACCATATCGCCTGCACCACAAGACATGAGACGTTGAAGAGAAATCAATATGATGAATGTATTTCTTTGTTTGGCAGCACTCAACTTTGACAATGACTGGCAAGAAGAAACGCTGGGTTGAACCAGGTGATTGGAGTACGAACGGGATGAAGTGATATGCATCAAGATTCCACGGATTCAAGGCGAATCAAGCATGGCATAGATGTGATGTTATGCTGTCTACCTATCTAGAATCGCCCCGCATTAGGTCTCTGAGCTACATGCCAAGGTAACGACACCTCCCTCCACTTCCCTCCCTGATGGCAATCGTGTTGTGGAAACATATCAAACGAGCGATGGATACTACAAATCTGTGAATACCAACATCAAGCCTTGAATGCATTGAATAACATGATCTTCTGCCCATTCACCCACCCCTACCAACTACACGTTTCTCTGCTTTATACATGTTCCCAAGATCGTAACAACTGCAGCTGACATACAGAAACAATTGTGTCAATCGCTGAAAATTACCAAGACAAATGAAATAAATCCAGACGCTGAGGGAAGAGCTATAGAACACTCGTGGTGGTGAAGATAGAGTACGGGAACAACGCAAGAACAGGTGAATCCAACAAATCAATGACACGGAGAAAAGAAGAGTTCAGGATGAAGGTGATGGTGTGAAACAAAACGATGTAGAATAGTAGAGGAAGGAGTAGCCGAGGAGGATGAAGACAAACGATGTGAAGGGGGTCAAGGAGACAACGCCATTGAAGCCTTGCCCCCCCGCCGCATGCTCTCTGGTACAGCAGCGCGTGCGGAGGAAAAAAAAATTAGAGTGCCTAAACAAGGCAGGGGTGGTAACAAAAATCACTACTGGTCATCCAGATTGACATATGCTTAACTGATATTAAAATGTATTGTAAATAAGGTTGATAGTAATATGCAGTATTAAAATGTTTAGTTATTAATTTATCCAGGGTTGACAAACATTTTACTAAAAGTTAGCGGAATTTGGATCAAACTTTGAGGTTCGAAGGCGAGAAGTTTCAAAGTTTGCGTGTGATGAGGCCCATGGCGGAGGCCCGGACGGTGTTGGCCATGGTCCTCGTCCTGTCGGCCTGTCACCCGCATGGCTCCTCCTCGAATCCGAACGCCTGTCATGCTCGACCAGCTCAGCTGCGTGCGACGCTGCTGCTGCTGCGTGGAGGGAGCTCAGGGGATCCTTACAACCTGCAGGAAAGAAAGCAAGGGGCTTCACTGCTGGCAAGCTTGATTCGCAGTGGAGACATTAAGTTGCACAACCTGAACGTGTCTGGCCATGGTGAACTGGGAGAAGAGGAAGGCACTGTTGATCGACAAGGAAGCGAGATGGATGCTGACGTGGCCGAAAGACACGGCGAAAGTTTCAAAGCCGCTCAGGTTGAAGCGAGGCCAGCAGAGCTTGTTGAAGCGAAGTCAGCAGCAGAGGCGCCGAGACCGAAGGACGAGGCTCGAGAGGCACAATCTGGATATACAGCTCTTAGACAAGAGTATGATAGACAGGACGAAGGGCGTCGTGACCTTCGCGGTGAGAAAGTGATCTTCATTTGTTGGAGGGGCACGAACAGATGATTGACGTGCTGAACTTGTATGGGAAGGGGAACTGAAGCAGGATCTTCCTTTGCACGAAGGTTCAGCCAGCATCAGTAATCGGTTGCAGGATGAATGTTGTTGGTAGATGCTCAACGTGGGAAGCAATTCTGGGACGACCTCTTCAAAGATCTTGAGGAGAATTATGACGAGGAGGAGGTGAGTTCACACCCTATGTGCAACCCCATCTGGTGTTTGATGCGAATCTTGCTTCACATCGAAAGCAAAAGCAGTTCATGGACGAGCTCGCTAAGAAGGTGAGCATGGCGACTTCAGCCCGTGGACGCTGAATTCAAAGCCTCGCAGATGGTGTTCGTGCGGCATGTGCCGAAAGAGAGAGCAGTAATGCTCTTGTAGCGGCGGTCTTTCCCTGATGAGCCATGTTGAAACAGCTCGATACCTGCCTCGAACTCTTCTCAGCCCACGGCAAGGTGATGGCAGTCTCGATAGGGAGCACGCCATCTACTTACGGTTTACGAGTAGCGTGAACCTTCGGATCTGACAAGTCTCAGGCACTGCGCACATCGTCATGGAAAGCAGGAAATCTGTCATCTCAGCGATACGGCATCTCAATGGCCTGCAAGTCGCGGTTGTAGTCATCAATGCTTCAGCATGTAAGGTGACCTGCTGTTGATCCTAGGGACGTACACTGCTTGTCGGTACCACTAGTCGAAAGCAGCTTGAGGGGTACGGGAACGAAGACTACCAAGCTCGCGCATGGCGGAAGGACGGAGATGGAAGGGACAAGGTGATTTGAACTTGTCCGAGCATGTCAGAGTGAGACTGAAGCTTTCGCAGCCACCAGAGGGACATGCGAGTGCTCTCTATGACAAGGACCGTAGCAAGCAGGGGCAACCTGGGAGCCATAGATATCGGAGAGACGACTCATACTCAGACTGAAGGATTCATGGGAGAGGCAACCATGATAACATGTATTGACTGAAGGAACATGCCCCTCCACACTCCCCATATCCAGTTTTTCAGTCGTTCTTTTTCAGCTCTGCTGATTTGAGATCATGGGCAGTAGGCTGGCGGCGATGGTCCTGGAGTCCAGCAGCATTCGCCCTCCTCTTCTTCCTAGCATCGTGTCTCTTCACCTGTGCCATCTGCTCAAAGTACCAGTTGATGAAGAAGATCAGCACAAGCACCATTCCCGCCATGTAGAACCATGTCATGTCGCCGTCCTCTCCCACCAGCGCCATCTCTTGCTATTCAAGTCCTCCTCATCCAGTGGCTTCCTTCCTTTGCTTCGGTGCTTTCAAGATCTGCTAGCAAGCTGCTGCCCCGTGGTCACCCTGCCGCCCCCGCCCTCCCTCCGCCCTTGCGCTGAGATGAGGGAAATTCTAGATCAGGGTTCTAGGTTAATTGTCTAGATCAAGATTCTAGATCAGGCCCAGTGATTCTAGATCAGGGTTCTAGGTTATTTCTAGATCAAGATTCTAGACTCATGCCAGGCCCATGATTCAGAGGCGGCTAGCCTTCATCAGGCCGCGCCCAGGGTTCTAGGTTATTTTCTAGATCAGGATTTGACTGAGTAGATCGCTGAGGCCCATGATTCAGGCTAGAGTCATGGTTCCGAGGCTAGCCCGGGTTATTCTCTACTAGCCTGAGCCTCAGGATGATTTAAGTTCCGGAGTCCGAGGGCCCGGCTACTCGGATATCAGTACTAGTGTTTCTACCGGGCCGCAGCCAGCCTCCTCCGAGTCCGGGCTGAACGGGCGGCCCGGCGGCGCCGGGCCGTCCCAACTTGTTGCCAGTGGCCCCGGGAGGCCGCCGCCTCGGAGCACGGGAGTCGGTCGGACGGGCGGCCACTCAGTGACTACTAGGGCTGAGGCCCCCGGGCCCGGCGCAGTGGGCCATCCGATCCGACCGTCAGTCACTGATGAGTATGTCCATTGAGTAAAAATATCAGATTTACACTGAGTCGCAATGGTTTTGCTTTTGTCGCTGCTGTTAGCGATGACGATGGCGGCTGGTGGCGAGGGAGAAACGACAGGATTGAAGATGTTACACGCAAGCACTGTCAACAGGTGGACCAGTCGAGGCTGCCAGCCGAAGTCAGCCAAGGGCGAAGGAATGCCATGGGCGAAGCCTTCTCTTGCCATGCTGAGGGCTGTGTGGAAGGAGGATAGACGAGTTGAGGCAACAAGAGATGTCGAGTCATCAAGAAGCTCGTTAGACATGGGAGTTCTACTTGATAATGGTGTCTTGTACCGCAACAAAGTGATATCATCCTCTGACTTCAGATGCCTGAGGCTGCTCGGTGGGGGTCCAGGTGAACAGAGGTCTACCAAGTCGACGGGAGCGAAAGTAGAGGAGGAGGATGGGAGCTACTGTGGAGTAGGAAGCATTTTCAGCTGTCTTTGTCGATGGATCAAAGGGAAGCTGATGAAACACCAAGACAAGCAGATCGTTCGTGAGCAATCCAGCACGGAGAAAAATTCCAAGGCAGCATTGAACCTATTGCTTTCCACAACAGGAATCCTGGCTCTCCGCTCCATCCTCCATCCTCCATCCACTTCTCCTTCAAGCCTACAGCTGATGAACATCCACGGCAAGGGGAGAGAAGGAAAGCAGGAGAGAAGGACATTCTTGGAGAACTGCGTTCGTTCTAGGGAGCTGATGGAGCGAGCGCTGGAGGACGGAAAGGTGGAGCTTTCACCCCGATATGTCTCCTCCTTTGGTATCATAACTGGTATGCTCTGGGCTTCTGTGTGCGGAGAGATCTTCTCGAGCTTGCTGCCTGGCCAGGGGGAGGAGGAGGGAGGAGGAGGATAGAGGGGAAAGCGATAACAGGATGGTAGAGAAATGTTTATGGATAGCAGAGCTAAGTTCACAAAGTCAAGAGGGAGGAAGAGGACGAGGCTCCACTTGTGATGTAGCAGCAGCAGCTCCGTTGCTGTGAGGAGCATAGCCCTTGAGGAAGAGACCTGAGGAGTTTAGAGTCAGGGAGAAAGAGGGAGAAGCATTTCAGGCGTACGATTGTTGACGAGCACCAACTCGCAGACACGAATGAAGAATTGTTTCCTGAGCTTGGAGGTCGTGAGCATCTTGTTCTCGCACGGGTCTCCGAGCTTCTCCTTCCTCGCCTTCTTCTGCAGCTCCTCAGTCAACTTGGTGGGGCTCAGCCCTCTGGGATGGTTCGCGACGATACCCAGGACAAGGTCACGGAAGGGGAGAAGCCCATCCAGGGCGGCATGTCGGAGCTGCGCATGGGAGGGAGAGCTCTCCTGCGCCATCAGCTCTGTCGTTGAGCCGTCTGCGTCTTGCAGCTGATGGTCGTCTTGCCCATCTTTCTCGTCTCCCGCATGTTCCTTGTCCTCGTCCTCATCCTCTTGGTACCGGCCAAGGACTCCCGATGGGACGGCATGCAAGGGTCCTCGGACTTGTGCTCTCACCCTCTTGTCTTGGCCATTCACTTGATTCCCCTTCGGCTGCGAGAGAGCAGATGAAGCAGCACCTGCTTCCTCCTCGTCCTCGTCCTCCTCCCCCGATTCGTCTTCCTCTCCACCCTCTTCACTCCCTGTGGCCATTGCGGCATCCTTCCCCTCAGCAAACCTTTTGATGCCTCCAGCCTTGACGATGGACTTGAGGAAGTTGAGGTCAGTTGAAATCGTCGCCGTCCTCGTCCCTTCCTCCTTACAGGTATAGGACTCGTGAGGTATCCTCCCCTTGCAGTGCATGTGCACCAGCTTCCGTTCCAGCGACGTCTGCAGGGAGGTGAACTCGAGCAGCGCCCTGGAGCCATTGACGGCTGCTGACTTGAACCAACCGACCACCCGCTTCACCGCATCCGACTGGATGATCCTCGAGGCGGTGGCAGACTTGGCCGCGAGGATGTGGACGGTGAAGGGGGGGACGGCGACGGAGTAGACGGTGTTGATGGAGACATTCCCGGGTGCCGCCAGGGAAAGTTTGAACTTGTCGTCGCAGAGGAGCTGGAGAACGAGGTCGTCAGAGGAAGCAGCTGGTGAGCTGCTCTTCTCAGATACTATGATCTGAGGGAGGTAGTCCTCCGTCTCCTCCACTGTCAGCTGGAACTCCAGCAAGTCCTTCTTGTGCCCGCTGCCTTCCAACCTCACGGGCTGGCGAGCCAGCACGGAGGACAGCAGCTGGCTCATCTCCTCCCTGCTCTTCTCGGGTGTGTGGAGGATCGCGTTGCTGATGCACTTGCGGATACGGTTGATCATGTCGAGCTCGGCCCAGGTGATGAAGTAGGGGTGCAGGTGGATGGCCCTGGCCCCAAGGAGGAAGGAAAGCACGCGCGTACCGTCGCTGCTCGTCCTCATGCTCATCTTCTCCGCTCTTGGGGTGAAAATCAGCTGCAGCAGCTTGCCGAAGGGAGTGCTGGGCAGCATCGTCACCCCAAGGGCCTTGACCCTCCTTTCGTTGTCGGTCCCCAGGAGGGACAGGGCCACTGCCACATGCTCAGTCTGCTCGCTGCTGAGGTCGCACACGACGGAGACAGGAGAGCGCCAGTAGGGCACGACGGACACGGTGGAATCGTTCATCAGGTTCCAGCTGACCATCGCGTCACAGCTCAGACTCCCAACGGTGACCGTCTCCGACCCTCCTGCTCCTGGCACTTCCCTGGGATTCGGGAGGACGAGCTTGTAGCGGGAGGCCCAGTAGACCTGCCACAGCAGCTTTGCCTCGTGGCTCAAGTCCTTCACGAGCTCATCTGGGGCGCTCTGGGAGGAGGAGTAGAGCTGGGGGCCCCTCCCGAGCTGGATGACAGCTCCGTTGGACCCGACCATCTTGTAGTTGACGACCTGCACGTCAAGCACCCGCAGGAGGTTCTGGAGGCCAACCTTGGAGTTGAACTCGGGAGGAATTTTCTTGAGGCGCACCGAGCTCTCCCTCTCGAAGTTGGCCTTGACGATGTCCGACTTGTCCGACTTGTCCAGCACTTGCCCCACAAGAAACGACTGCGAGCAGCAGCCGGCCAGAACGAACCTCAGGACGTCGTCGGGGGCCACGAAGAGCGAGCGGAGCGTCGCCTGCTGGCATGCCTCCTTCCTCCTCACGGTGTTGTGCAGCAGGTGCACCTTGTCTAGCGAGTCGTCCCTGAGGCCCTCGAGGCGCGCGAAGTACGTCTCGAACCTCCTGCAGAGGTCCAGCACCAGCGCCTCCATCTGCCTCACCCTAGTCCAGCTGAGCCCCAGGTTCATAGCATCGTGAAAGCCGCGGCCCGTCCTCATCCACTTCTTGTATCCCTCCAGGTACATAATCGGCTCCGATTTCTTCCCCAAATCGAGCCCAGCTCGGCTCCTGAAGTTGCTCGCCAGGTCCTTGATGAAACGGGTCTGGTCGCGCATGAAGACGGGGGAGGGCATGGCGAAGATGTCCTGGATGGAGAGCGCGGCTGCCATGACGATCGACTCGGGAAGGCAGGAGCAGCTAGTCCCTAGCAGGAGGAGCTTGACGAGCGGGAGGTCTACAGGGAGGTCAGAGGCAAGTCGACCCAGCTCGGTGATAGCTGAGGTCTCGTCCTCGCGGGTCAGCGCACCGATCTTGAAGAGCTCCTTGATAGCTAAGTTGACTCGAGCTGAGGGAGGAGGGGTCAGAGACTGACTGAGGAGCGAGGAGGGGGAGCCGAACTGCTCCAGCAGGATCTTGATCTTGAGCACTGTCCTCTCGAGCGGCACGCGGAAGATTTCTGCCTCCTCGAAGGGGAGCATGACAGTGTCATGGAAGTCACGAGGGAAGAGGTGGAAGACGAAGCCAGGGGCGACCCTTCCTGCCCTCCCCTGACGCTGCTTGGCCGAGGACTGGGAGCACCATGCTCCTAGCAGCGCCGGCATGTTCCTGGTGTCGTCAAAGAAGATTCCCCTGAGAGGAAGGATGAGAATCGAGCGAAAGCAAGCTGAGGGGATGGTGAAAGATGATGACAAGGGCGGAGGAGAGGACGAGGACGAGGACGAGGACGAGGACGAGGACGGAAAAGGGGACCAGGAGGCATGAGGGTAAGAGAACGAAGAGGAGAAGGAGGAGAAAGAGGAGAAGAAGGTGGTGGTGATGGAGATAATGGTGATAGTGATGATCATGCTTATGATGATACGATAATGATGAACATATCATAGGACATGCCTACCTGTGTAGGCCTGAGTCGATGACGTAGAGGACGTCGGGGATGGTGATGGAGCTCTCAGCGATGTTGGTCGACAAGATCACCTTGCAGTGCCCTGCTGTAGCCGGAAGCATCGCAGCCTCCTGCTCTTCCCGGGAGACGAGAGAGTGTAGGACGAGGATCTGAAGGGGGCAGGCGAAGGAGGAGAACTTCTCGAGCTCCTCTTGTAGAGACGCGATCTCTCCGATGCCGGGGAGGAAGATGAGGATGCAGATGCTGGGCTCTACAACCTCTGCAAGCAGCTTGATGATGAGCCTCTCAGAGTCTGAAGTCATCTGCATGAAAGCGAAATTAAGATGGTCGACTATGAAGAGACTAGCCTTGAACTCAGAAGCATTATCCTGCTCCTGCTCCTGCTCCTGCTCCTCCTCCTCACCATCATCATTATCATCATCCTCATCATCCTCATCCCATCCTGCTCCTGCTCCTGCTCCTCCTAATCATAATCATCATCTCACCTCAGGTTTGATCCTGGCTCCCTCGTTACTCTTAGATCCTTGGCAAGCAACCGCGAACTGCTTGGAGAGGCGGCCGAGACAGGCATCAGAGTTGAAGGAGCTACTGAAGTTTCGCCACTCATCCAAGAAGTACACCTCCACAGGGTATCTCCTCGCTCCCACGAAGATGGTGTCTCGAACTTGTTCGCTCTGAGGGGTGAAGTACTGCCCGAACAGGTTGGCCTGAAGGGTAGCTGACATGATCACCAACCTTGTGCTGGACTTCTGCGTCTGCGTCAGCTTCTTTATGAGCAAGTTGAGCAGGTCCGAGTCCATCCCCCTCTCGTGCACTTCGTCAAGGATGATGTGGGTGTACTTTGAGAAGTTCTCAGGGTGGTGGGAGAAGTACTGCAGGAGGTATCCTATGGTCACAAAGGTGACACGAGTATCCTTGGAGACCACATGGTCCCCCTGGCCGATGCGGTAGCCTATCGTCTTTCCTATCTCCTCGTTGTTTTGACTCGCCACCCTCCTTGCGAGCGACACGGCTGCCAACCTGCGCGGCTGAGACACAATGACGTTAACTGGCCGGCGTCGCGCCCTGGCCTCGTCGAGGATGAACTGGGGGACCATGGAGCTCTTCCCGCATCCTGTCTCTCCTTGGATGCATGTGACAGTGTGGTTGTTGATCTCTTCAAGGATGACGTCTCTGAACTGCACAATTGGGAGGGTGTTGGCAGCAAGCGCGACCTCCTGCTGCTCGGGGGTGAGATGAGGAGGAACGTCGCTGACAGGCTCCTCCACCCTCTCTTCTTGCAAAATTTCCTTGGTTGTTGCTGTTTGAGATCACAATCAGCTCGTGGGCTATAAAAGATAACATCGGAGAGGAGCTCTGATGTGCATGCAGACATCAGGAGCCATCGGGGGAGAGAGGGGGAGAAAACGTTGTTCATCAACATCTACGACTGACCTGTTTCGATCATGTGGATGTTGTTGAAGAGTTGGAAATCTTCTTCAAAGATCGTCAGCACAGCATCGCACAACATGTCGATCTCGTAATGAGGAATTTGCTTCAGCACGCCCTCAAGATGTCCGCTGCTTGACGGATCTTGGGAATGAAGATGGAGAAACAATCTACAACACCATAGTCAACTATCTCTCTTACGTACGGTCCAAACATGCACGACACAATTCTCCCCCTTCCCCTCCCCCTCCCCCTCCTCAGTCTTATCTGGCATAACCAGACCTGGCACTGAACAGTTTGCTAGGCTCCGGAAAGAGATGAGAAATTTCCAAGAGCTCAGCCAGGTGAAAGACTTCATGGACGACATTCTGGAAGAAATTCGCCACCTCGACGGTGGCGAAACTGAACAAAACAAGAAATCAGGTGTGAGAGTTTGTGAAGAAAAGGAGGGCGGGAACTGAGGGAGAGGAGAGAGATAAGGAGACGAAGAGGAGGATAAGAATATGACGTAGTTGCATTGAAGATCAACAGGGAGCAAGAGTAGCAGGATGGGGGAAGAAGAGGAGGGAAAGAGGAGCAGGAGCAAGAGAAGGAGAAGGAGAAGGAGAGAGTATGAAGTCGATGCAAACCTGGGGGGATGCACTGGAAGCTCATCAAAATCGAAATCGCAGCAGCACATGAACACGCAGGCCTTGAGTGTGTGATAGTCCCAGACGGTGAAGTGGAACTGCCCGCCGTTTAACCTTGAAGGAAAGTCGAACGTGAGGAGGAGGAAAAGCAAGGAGTGGGGAGAATGATTGTCTGATGG